CGCTTAGAGGGAACACCCCCTTGGGAAACAGAGGTCAAGCTTGGAATGGCACGGGGTCAAAACGAGGTTCTGGGTTCTGTTTCCAGGGGCCTTGTGAGTGGTGCCTCAAAGTCCGGCTTTGAAAAGCTCCCCTGCCTCCCACTGACAAAAGGAATGCTCTTGAGGTTGACTGTCGCGCATCCAGCTAGCTGTGGCCATTACTTTTTAATCAAAGTACTGAGACTCTGGGGTTGGCCAACATGTTTCTTAACCATCCACGGTCCACTTGTAAAGGGAACACTAGCAGAGTTGATGTTTCAACAGTAATGTGCTTAGACAAGTGGTTGTCCCAACGCTTAGGGGGGCAGTTTGATCAACAATGGATGGATTGCGCTGGTTTTAATTTGGGTTTCCAGTCCCAGTCGCCAGTATCGTAGGTAACCATTTTCCTTCAGTTTTCCAGTGTGGCTCCACTCGGACTCCATTTCCAGGACACCGAGGATTATTCCGTACTTGGGATGGATTCCACTTGGCGCATGTGGCATGGACTCTTGTTTCAGTTGGGCCCACTGACTCATTCACTGACTCACCGACTCACTGACTCAGCGCGTGGAATCCCATCGATTCGGAGCCGAATCGATTCGGTTCCAGGCAGCTGGCAAGCGGGAGCTGGCCGTGCAGGAGGCCCAGCCATGGGTATGGCTGATGGTTTGGAGGTCAACAGGTACTTTTTTCGGGATGGTTGCAACCCACTTGGGGGGGTTCCTCATTTTGAGAACCCGAGGTGTGGATGTTTGCCCCCTCATTTCTTTTGCAAGATTTTGGGTCGTTGATGCCAGGTTTTGACTAAGACTCACTCAGAGCAACTGACCAAAATTACTGGTAGTCTACTATTGTTTTTGGGGAGGGGGGGGCCACCCAAATTGCCCACAAAAACAATCGGGCCCACCCAATTTTCCAATGTCTTGGGAAGAGACGTAATTTGCCACGTGTTTCTCCAGAGGGAACCCAACATGGGCGGTTTCCTTTGGATTCTTTGTTGGGTGGCTGGTGAAACCTCAACATGAACTCAGAGGGTCCTGGGCTGGTGCGGACAGCTGCTGGCCTTTTTGAGATGGTAGTTTTCAAACCTCTTCCGGCGCACTTCCATGATTGTTGGAGACAAAGTACCTGCCAACATGGGACCCACCAGAGGGTCCTCTCCACCCCAGTCAGGTTCCATGCAGCGTGGGTGGGAGGGTAACAATTGGGTGAAAGATGCTGCAATTCCCCCCATTTTGTTTTCATGTTCCTCCTGACCTGTAGAAAAGGAATTGTGCCATCTATGTTCACCCTGCTAATGAACACTTTTTACCCTGGCATAAGACCGCACTACCAGGGTTTTGCCCTGGATTCCCTGGATCGGATTTGAGCCGGCCAGCTCACCAGCTCACCAGCTCGCAGGAACTCGCCAGGGCGCCCGGAGCAGCGCGCCGCGGGGCGCCTTGCGGTCACGCCCCTCCGATGGAATCCGAGGCCTCGGAATCGATCGCGGCGTAAACGATCGCAGGCACATGCTGAGCAGTGCACTTGTAAGACAAGCAAGCAGCATTCACGCCGAAATGCTTACATCACCTCAACGGAAGCGCAGTTCGCAAAAAAATGCTTTAGCCAAGGACATGCGAAGGTGTCCACAATTGTTTGCAAAGCACGTGTAGCAGATGCTTCCTGACTGAAAGGTCTGAAGGCAGCAGGCTTCCAATGCATAGCTGGGCTCAAGTTCAGTGATCTGAGTTGATAGAATCTTGGAAAGGTTTGTTACCCCCGCTTTGCGTGTTTTTTCAGCATGGTTTGGTTTGCAGAGACTGTGGTGAAGGAGTACAAGGCATGTGCGTGGCTAAGCGTCATTCTCCTGTATCTCATGCCGATTGTGTTCTTTCTCTGCAGGGCGTACAGCATCCTACATGATGGGACCCCGGCAATGCAAACCTCGATGTCGGCAGATTGGGGAAGCTTGCCGACATTCCTGTTTTGCAGCCCGGAGGGGCATCCCAAGCTCGCAAAGTGCAGTCTGGCAGGGGTCATGCCTATCAATGAATCCATGTTGGCGGCGACTGCAACAAGCCCCCACGGCCATGGATGCATTTTATCCAAGGACAAATCTGAACACGAACAATTCAAAGGAAGAGAGGAGCTGGTACACATCGCCTATACGCACCTAGGCTCTCTAAAATGTGTTCTGGTCAATGCCACAACACTGCAGCCTCGCGCGCCTTCAACTCTTCACTTTGAACTTCTCGTTGACGGGTCTGTTAAAGATTCCATGCCTTTCCTGGTCTTGGACAAGCACATGAAAGTACCACTTCAAACGCTTACAGCCTTCACTCCAGGCAACCAAGTGATGAACTTTGTGAAGAAGAGGGATGGCTCAAAACGCTTCTCAGGCAACCCCGAATATGAGAATTTCACCTCCAAGATCTTCTCTCCATCTCTCTACTTGAGTGCTTTCTCCACACTTATGTCTCCAGAGTTGAAGGACATCTACAGCACTCAGCTTCAGTACGCATATCCTGACTTTGACTTGGAGGGCATTGAAGCGCAGAACTTGAGCAAATGGAGGCCAGCTGCACTCGCGAAACTCGCCAAGTACCCGCCCAAGCTTTTGTCCGCCCTCGAGCAGGGCGTGACATATCAAAAGTACAAGGCCACTTTGAAAATTCTCAATGGCCATGTGCTGGAAGAAGTGGAGATCGGTCGCTACCCGCAGATTTTCATGTTGTTGGCTCGGCTGGGCGGGTACATGCGACTTGGCGAACAGATTGTTTCAACGCGAAGCCAAATGTTCGTTCTTTAAGTGATGGTGCCAATTTCGAGAAAAGACTAGTGTTCTTGTATTCGCATGGAAAGGGTTGAGCTGTTGCCAGGTCAGTGCTCAGCGCAGTTCTGGGTCTTTGCTGGGTGCAGCGCTGGCCGGACAGCTCTGTGGCGAAGATCTACAGGACAAGGACTTTCCTTTTGGCTGAGACACGCGGCCAGCCCGATCATGAGCTTCTGGCCACTGCAACACTCCCTGAGGCTGCGTAGACCCTCAGAAGTTGCTGTTTCCAAGAGAAGGCAGAGTCCGCTGACTGCGCCGCTACTGTTTCATACTGTTTCGTACTGTTTCCTCGCCAGACAGATCTTCCCGAAGGGAAAGAACTTGAAGCATCGCTTGACCTGAAGAAATGTGTGCGATGTTAACACACATGCACATGTGTTGCTGAATCTATGCCATGTGTACCTGATTAGCAGTGGCTGTTCATTAGCTATCGCCGCGCTTATGAACAAAGTACACCAGCCTCGGCCAAACATAAAACTGTCTCGGTTATCGTAAGAACACTACCAAGAATGAAGACGAGAGGCAAACACCGTTTCTGGCTATGCAAGGATGCTAGACAGGAGGACAGCATGAAGGGAAACAAAAGGAGACTATGACGGAGACACAGTACAAGGTATGCTCCAGCTGGAAGACGGACGTTTCCAAAAAACATAAAGCGCCTAAGGCCAACTCAACTTCTGCCAGTTTGGTCAACCTCAACTTGAAAGCGCATGGGGGGGGGTCCAGCAAACTTGTCCATCTCCGAACGACAGCAGCCTCTTCTCTCTTCCCTCGAATCCGAGAGGGCGGGAATCCGATGGCGTGGACGTTATTGGACGAGGATTCAGTGATCCCAGTGCAGAGTCTTACACATTAATTATATATATATATATATATTGAAGTTGGTACCCTTTTCTGGAGCACCACAGAAAATGAGAGACATTTTAGGGGCTCTCCATTTGGAGAGCCCAGATGACCCCAACTCCCCGCAAAAGGTGTCTGCTGGAAGAGGGGAGTGATCGGAACTTGGCAGGGTTTCTCAAATAAGCCCTCATATGTCTCTTTTGAGGCGGTTTACACGCAACTTTTTGAGCAAGTGTTAGATTAGTTTCGTTTTGGCGGAGTGATGTGTGCTTTTTAGGTTTGTTTGGTTAGACATAGATAGCGCTGGTTAGTTTGGCCTCGTTTCATTGATATACCCCGGCCATCCATGCCAAAACCCTTTGTTTGCAACCTGTTGGTTTTAAGACGCTAGGGGTCCATGGCTCACCCAATTCCAGAGCGCTCGCTGACTGCATTATTATTATTATTATTCTATGAGTCCTGGAGAGGTTGCGGCAGCGATGGACAGTTTTCTGAAGAGACAAGTGTGGAGTTCCACTTGCATTGAAATGCATCCTTCGCCATCGCGGCTCGAGTGCTTGTTTGGCTCACCTAAGGCCTGAAAGGCACAGGCTGCTCTGCATTGATTTGCACAGCTCCCGCTCGAAGAGCATGACTTCCTGGTCACCCGTTGAGTTCAAGTGCCCGGATGTGAGGATTCGGGGGTGTGAAACTACAATCATAGACGAACATAATGCCTTCTGGGCTCATCTCAAGCCGGGTGTCGGGTACGAGGGACTTTGCGACAACGAGCTGTGCCTGTCATACACGCAGGCGCAGCGGTGCGGCACCAATCCTGGACACGTTGTTTGCAGCATGGGCTTTGGCAAGCACCGACCGAACGAAGATTATTGCTACAAGCAGATTGTATGCCCTGCGTGCAAATGGGCGTTCTTTCCCCATCGCTTCTGTTTCCAGGAATGTTCGGCCAAGATCAATTTCTGCATCCAAGGCGAAACAGCCGACGAGGTATCTCTTTCCGAGGACAGAGACTTGAAGTCTAGGGTTTTCGGAAAGCGAGGATCACCTGCAGTTTATATCATGCTTGTGATTGAGGTGGATCTTCCTGGTAAGTATCCGGACGTGGATGAGTTGGAGGTCATAGATGCTGTACGATTTTACATGCCTGATAAGATGCGGACGTCTTTGTCCAGAATGTCGACCGCTTCAACTTTGAGTTCCCCTGCCTCTCAGAGTGGCAGTATGAGATTGAATCCGATGGAAATACGCTACATCCAAGACAGCATATCCAACCGCTTCCAGTGTGGTCGCCGCGTTCGCGACACCATGGAGAAGTTGAGGGATGGCCGCCTCCAAGTCGGACATTCCCAAGATTCGGGCCTTTCAGCGTAATGGACGCTGGTACGCGGAGGACAACAGGCGTCTATGGGCCTTCAAGGAGGCTGGTGTGTCGTCAGCTCCAGTGCAAGTGGTTGCCCAGGCAAGTGTCGACCCAAGGAAGTTTACCTCTCTGGATGACGGAGCGAGCATTCGCATGCGTGGTTGGTGAGGCAATCACGGGCGCTGCAGGTATACACCATTCATGTGGATTCGCATTCAGAGTAGAAGCCAGATGAAAAAGTAGCGAACTTGCCGTGCTTGAGCCAAAAGGTGGGCGACATCTGGTGATTCTCGCTGCCGTCCTTTCAGAAAAAGGCGGCGATTGTGTCCCAACTTCAGGTACCCCTTGATTGGTGGCTTGGATCGGTGGTTTGGAGGTTTGAACCCCATTTCCTCTTGAAGCCACGGCAAGCTAACGTATCCACCAAGCCAAACCACCACTTAGGGGTCAGGTGACCGTTCGCTGGCCTGTGTTTCTCACAAGGAAAGCCCTATCGCAAACGCTGTTCACATCACGACCCCTCCAACCGATTGTTTTATGTTCCCTTTTGAAGACAAGTCACCAGAAAGAATAAGAATCAGCTTGGCACAAAGGCGATATTCGAGGCTGCCAGTGTTTTTGGATTTGAGGTCGAATGAAATGAAATGAGCCACTTGCTCAAAACCCATGGAAATGAAGGCTCTGCAAGGGATCATCCCAACCATACATGGGTGCAGCCGCCTTTTTTTTACAATAATTTCTTGCTCCTGGCATCACGCGGCCTGCCTGGACCCTTTGTCAAGCGTGCCCATGTCGCTAAGACACGCGTTGGTATTGTAGGCTACCATTTGCGTCTCGCTCTGAGAGGCTGCCAGAGGACGTGAGCCAATGGCGGGCACGACATGTTGGTGTGTTCTTGCAGGTGTTTTTTTCCTTCTTTTACAAATTAATGCAAATCCTTACACGGGTTTGGGTAGACCAGTTTAATTCGAGGTTTTAGTTTTGAGTCAAATGAAATGGAGTGGCGTGATGCGGGGGGCCTCCTTGTCTTCTTCCACTTTGCTTGGCAGGACGTCGCTAAGGACGAGGTGCTGGCCGCTAGGTCCGGCCGCGGCTGTGGGGTTTATGGGTAACCATCCGTCTTCGTTGGAGTCTGAAGGCGGGAACTTTAAAAAAGGGTACCGAGCCTCGAAAACAAAACAGATCCATTTGAGTGTCCCACTGCTTTTTCTAGGGGTTGATTCCAATTATCCATTCTTTCCAAACCATCGTTCTTTTCAAAAACCGGATCAATTGTCCCTGGGTTTACGGAGGTTTTGTAGAAAGATTCGGTGTTTGGAAGAATGGCGAAGGTACCCCTGGACCCTTGGCTTTCCCCAACAATCTTGGAAGCTGACAAGAGGGTTTTCCTTTTGGGGAAGCCCCCTGTCCACTTCCATGTCTGGTGGAAAGAGGGTACTTCTGTGCAGATTCGGAATCACCGGGAACGTGTGGAAATCGGGGCACCCATGGGGAAGACGTCCTTTTGTAAGCCTATCCGCAGGGGTTGCCAACGGCTTCCTATGGCTAAATGCCGGCCAAGATGAGCAGACATGAGCTCGAGAATCTCCTGTGTCGACCTTTGAATTCCAACCTAAGGACCGAGCCTCAAGAACGGACAAAGAAATTGTCCGGGGCCACTTTCTGCATCACTCAGAAAGTGGCAGTCGTAACGGATTGGTATCACAAGGATTAAACTCCAGAAGGCCAAATATTTGGACGATGGGTCATGTGGGGCTGAATGGTTGGAGGATTTTCCGGAGCCTTGTTGATTTTGGTCCATGTGCAACTCCAACTGCTCGCTCTTTTTAGGGTACATGTTCAAGGGTAAGCGCTGATGCGAGGATACGCTTAGAAAGTCGGTATTTGGAGGACAGGGGTACTCCCGATTTTGCGAGACTTGCAAGGCAGCTTGTGAGACTTGTGAGTCAGCAGCAAACTCGGACAAAACCAGTTGGTGTTCACTCATCGGGAAACCATCGACACACTGCCAGGTCCATTCAAAACTACACGCCAAGCAACGCCCAAAGGTACAAACTGCTTGGGGTCCCAAACCGTTTCCCTCTCTTAGCCTTTGGGTCGCAGGTGAAGCCAAAGCCGCGCCGGCGCCTTCCTTGCCTCGCCTTGCGCCCGCGCGATCCGAGTGATCCGGGCGCCGCTTCCATTTGCCGAATGAATCCATCGAAGACGCTGGGGACCCGATCTCCCAGCTGTGCATACATGGGAAATTAATATTGTTTTTTTTCCCTTGTTGGTGGTAGAGGGAATCGATTTCACCAGAATATATGTTGATGTTTTTTCCTCAGGGGCCTTAAGCAAATGGAAGGAAAGCGAGCGATTTGTGCTGGGTTGTTCTACAAAAACTCATTCCGCTAGGTTGTGTCCTCAGTGGACAGCCCACGGAGCGGTGGCCAAATCGTCAATCGGCGATTGGTCAAATGCTTATGGTGGAATTAGGCCTACGACTGTTTCCCTTGTTGTAGCGGTGTCCTACGAATTGCGGAGGATTCGAGATCCCCATTTTTATTCTTGCTGATTCCCCATTCTTTTGAACCATCGTTCTTTTCAAGAACCAGCTGTTTCCCCTGCGTTTTTGGTTTCCTGAAAAGAAGGATCCCCTAGAACTTTGAGCAACCCAGTTTGCGTGAAAGTACTTTGTCTGGCGCGCGTTTTTTTCGGTCTGTCCCCTGGCAAGGGGCTGGCCCAGAACGGATGGCAAAGGGATAAGGTACCGGGCTGGGGAAGACCCGCGCATGCCAAGCTTGAAGTGCCAGGGGCACTGAACAGCTCTGGGCTCCTGAAAGGATGCAACCCAAAATCAGCTTTACAAATGATCGGATCTTCTAAGTTCATCTGAAGTCTGAGGTGTTTTTTCTTCTTTCTTTTTTCAGAGGCCCAACTATATCGAGCTCTGCTCGAGTCCCGATCTTTTTTAGCCTCTTGGGCGAATGTCCATAGATGCCCCCGCCTGAAGTGGCCGAATTAATTCATTGATTCACCTGCTGCAAGCGCACATGTCGTGGCAGGTCCTGTATTTTGCATTCGGCGAAAACCGTGCTGTTCATGCTGTCCGCTGACACATGGGACTTCCTCATGGGACTTTTTCCTACTGGGTGCTTTGACCCTCTAGCCAAAAGGACACCAACCACTTGGGACGGAAGGATTCCGATTTTGAGAAGCTCCCTCCGCACTTGAGATTGGACGCGCCGGATTTAAAGGCATTGGCTCTGAGAACGTACGGGTTGTGGACCTGTTCGTTGGTTGATCGTTGTTGGAGTTTGGGGTTATCAAAGTCACTGTCCTTTCAACCCACCACTTGGGTAACTCTGGAAAAATGAGGCCAGTCTTTGCAGGGCGTAACGAGAGAACGCCCACCCCCCGTTCCGGTGGATTTTTCTTCGCCTGTGAACATGGCTCTTCAAAGACGGGGCCCGCGAAATCCAAGCGGTGTTCCTTTCTGGTTTCCCTTGCATTCAAGGTGAACGGGGTTCCCCTGCCAAAGTCTCCTGATTTGCCTATCCATTTGGAGTTCGGGACATAGATTTCAACCACAAAAACATCAAACACCAGGCGAACTCGAACTTTCCCTTATAGTTTGATTGTGCCTTATGTCACATATGTCGAGGCTGCATTCGATGCAAGGTTGTCATAAGGCCGAGGGCGAATCCGAGGACCCAAATATGAAATGGGGGTGGAAGCTCACCAAATTCCCATGCGAACACAATTGCATATCGACCGTGGCTGACGTGCATTGCATCCAAGCATCGTTTTGCGTGGCTATATGGCTGGCATGTGCAACTGTGCAGGGGGTACAGCCTCTGAAACAAAACCAAACCACGGAGACACAGACAGCTTGACGTGTGATGACAGGAAATTCGGCGTACAATTATCGGCAACCATGTGACCAGCGCAGCCCAACTCTTGCAGGGATGTCAAAGATATCATCGGCTCACACAACGGTGCAAGCCCCCAGCATGCGTTTGACTTGTTGATCTGTGGGATGGGACATGTTTAACCGAAAACAAGCATCTGCTCGCTGCCCAAAATGAAAGCACATGTGCGCTCAGAGATCACATATATCTGGACTGATACCCGTATGCAAACAGATTGCGTTGGCACGCTACAATCAGGCTATGAATGGAATCACAACTCTTCTTGATCTTAGGTCTTGTGATTCTGCAGTAGGATCGTTCAACATCACCTTTGGACTCCATGAGTTTCCCTCGGCGATGCTTCTAGCTCAATATACCCGAACACCTGCAATCACATCCCGCAGAACATTTTGACCGCTTTCCGGAGAGATCTTTCCAGGTCGACTGCGCCGCCGATCCGCGCCGTCGATCGGCGCGGAGTTCGCGCCCATGCGACGCCATGCTGGCGCTGCTTTTCTTCGCCGTGACACGGCCGGCGCTGGCCTGGACACGACTCACCGTGGCAGGGGCCCTAAGGGAACGATGACTGAAGGGGGCTGTAGTTCTTCCATTTTCTCAAGAATATGTTTTCTTCTTCGCTGCCGGTTTTAAAGGGAAACCATTCACTACTGGACATATGTATGGTTATTTTTCCCTGGGACTCGAGCAAATGCAAGACTTGGTGGGACCAATTGCTGTGAGTGGCCGAGGAAAGTGCGATTTTGTGATTAGGTCACGGGGATGTCCTACTTTGAGCCGCTTTGAGTGAATTTGCACAACCATGCCCTTGATTTTGATAGGTTGTTCCGCTTAAGGAACACGCACCCCGCACTGAATCTTTTCAGAGCAAGACACCGGTTGAATCACTTTTCAATTTTTGTTACTCACATTTGTACCTGAATCGCCAGCTGAGCATGTCCAAGAATCATTACCAAACACAGCCCAAGACCACCCTGAAGACCCTCAAGCCAAACAAGGCAGGAGTTGAGGTCACTTTTGGGGCTGGCAGGTGCATAGCGAGAAATGCGAGGAGTCTGGCTGCCAGGCGCGGGAGCGGCAGTTGCCGTTGAGTTTGCTTGAGGGGCGACTGTGGATTTTGGCCGTGCAGTCTGTGGGCTCTCATTTGGTAAGAAAACAACAAGCAGCTCATCCTTAAAAGAGGGGATATGAATGGATATGAAGCATGTCTTTGTTTTCACATTTTTCCCTTTGGTGGCGAAGACAAACCAAGATACCTACTTTTCCTGCAATGACCCCTGTACTTGGCCAGCCATCAAGGGCTAGCTTTGATGGTAAGCACGTGGCTCCAAAACGTCTATGCGACGCAAACCGGAGGCGGATGCCCTCTTGGAAGAGGTTCAGTGGGAAACCAAACGGAACTCAAGGACTTGTGGGTCGTCCAGGTTGAAACTCTTGCAGCCCGTTTGGAAACCTCGGCTTTGAGAAACCAATTGAATCATCGTGGACTATTCCAACGACTGCTCCCCATGTTCAAACTCCCATGTGTCCAGAATGCTTCTGACTCCGATACGGAAAACAGCGTGTCCTTGCAAAAAAACTAAAACTAGAGCATGCAAAATCACACTGAACCTAACAAGGGGACCATTTCACTTGAGGGAAAGGAGATGCTTCCAACGATTGGGCTTTGTAGGGGTTCCATGTCGATCTGCGAAATAATGACAAACATTCACCAACATGCATTTAAACAAGAAAGCAACGAACACCAACCCCATGTGGTATCCCAAACAGCAACACCCCCGGCTCGATCCCCCCGAACCACGCAGCTTGGTCAAGCCCCTAGCTTAGAAACCACAAACAACGGATTCCCCTTGACTCATCTTGGGTGGACCGGTTTTGTCTCACAAGACCCACAAGGAGGGGGAGCAACCCGAGTCGAAGCCTTGGGGGAGCTGAGCGAGTTGGGCCCTTTTTTGGGGTCAAAGAGGTTGAGCCCCTGGCTGGTTGCGTGCCAGCGATGTGGAGCCGTGTCGGTTTCGGTTTGGCGCGAGCGACAGGTGGCGGCCAAATGCCCTGAGAAGACCTGGCCGGTGGCTTGTGAGAGCGAGCCCAGAGGCCGGGAAAAAATGAGAACGAGCCTTCAGGCGCCGTCTGGATGGTTGCGAAATCCTCGGCAGCACCGGTTGTGAGACCCCGGTGTCTGATTCGATTCTTTAACGCAGTTACCAACAAACGTGATGCTGTACCATGGTTACAAAAGTGGTGCAGGATTTCGTCCATCCACAGTGTCAATTACCAATACAGTAGCCAAACGGCTCCAGCTCAAGCATCGCAATTGTTCAACACACGGATATGATACACGAGTACAGTTTCATCCCACAATAATGTATACCCTTCCGCGAAATATCCGCTCGCCCTTGACACGGTCGGCCGGATCTGTGGAGGGTAATTACCCGTCTTCATGGCGATTTGACAGATCTTTGGACTGGACAACTTTTAGGGAAGCAGTGGATTCCGTATTGGACCCGCAAAAGAGAAACTTTGTGCACCCAAGCCGTGCTCAAAATAGGCGACATCTTTGTTAAAGGTAAGCCAAACGCCAAACGGAGGCCACCTGGAGGAGTTGGTCCCCTTTGAGCGCCCAAGGGAGGGTTGGAAAAACCGTGCCAGGCCATGCTTGGTTCAACCAGGGCTCATGCACGGCGTCGGCGCGCTTGGACATAGAGAGCCTCGGCAGAGATGAGAAGTCCAGAGGGCTTGCAAAGGGCTTTCTACATTTCCATGATGCCATTTGGGTCTGTATTTGTTTGCCGTGCCCATTCTTTAGTCTACGCGGGAACCTGCCCCGAATCATACCCCGAACCATACCCCCGATTCATACCCCACCTTGCAAGCCTGCTTGAAGGCCTTAGCTAAGAGTATGCAAGTAGGGCCTGTCCTGCGGGCAACACAATAAACTGTCTGTCCCTAAGCAGTGTTCTACTCTAACTGGCGTTTAGGGTAAGAGCTACAGGTTAGCTCACAGTTCGTCACGCGCCAGCTGACAGTTTGCATGGGCCGGCTTGTTGCGACACACGCATAATTGCATTTCAAAAGCGCGCAGGCTCGCACGAGCTGCTTGGCTCTTTCGGCTGTTTATCCCAAGTGCGCTTTCGCTGCTGCGTCAAGGGGGGGGCTCGGCTTGGGTATGTGTACTGCCGCTCCGGCGCGGGTCGAAAAATGACCAAGAAGGCTTGAACACTCTGTGACGGACATCTCGCCCCTTCTGCTACGTGGTTGAGAATTTGACCACTAACCAAACCTTTGCTGACTTCGCGCGGGTTGGCACGCTCTGCTTCATAGCTTCACATGGTGCGGGCCTGTTCCAAGTGCAAGGGCGCTGCCGCTTGCAGCAGCCCCGCATGATTGCAAGCTTTCTTAGCCATACTCGCTTTGCGTCTTTCCGTTAGCAAAAGCCTTCCCCGCGATTCATACCCCCGATTCATACCCCGAGTCATACCCTTTCGCAGATCTGCAACCAAGAGCCTCTTGCGCTCTGGGCGCAATCGTGAAGCTACAGGGACCAGATCTTCAGAAGCTGGGCAAGGGGGGGGCTGCAGAACGACGCCGCCCTTTTCGGAGAGAGGATCGTCCGGAAGGTTTGGAGCGGTTTGAAGGAAGAGTTCGAACCCTTGTAAGCTGCATCCTTCAAGAGTGAATTGTTTTGCTCTGCTTGTGAAGTTGGGGAGCGCTGCAAAGAGTGGCCTGTGCTTGAAGGAGTTCCGAGCAAGAGGCCTTCCTGGCATTGGCGGGCGTGCCAAAGCAAGCAAATTCTTGTCAGCGCCTGGAAGGAAGCTCTGGGGCCCGCGAGGAGGAACTGCTAAGCGAACACGGGGTTTGGCCGTTGTCTGAGCTGGTCCGCAAAACATGCCCTGGTGACTGGTGAGGCGTCAGGCTTCGGTGTGCCACGGCTGTTCACCCCGTTCTTGGCAGCGTCAGAGGCTAGCTGTGGCAATTGGGCGGTTTGGTTTCTTGCGGCTATCTGCTTGTCAGCGTAAAGGAGAATTGCAGCGCCCAAGGCCACAAAACAAGAATTCAGCGCGGGCCATACCCCGAACCATACCCTCGAGTCATACCCCGAGCCTTACCTGAAATGGGTTGTTTTTGAGGGCCCATGAGGGGTCGGGGTTCTCCATGGCAGGGTCCTGGGGTCTGCGTTGGAGCGGTCATGACCCTTAGGATGGTTAAGAAATCACCTGTCTTCCCTTGGACATGTTTTTCATGACACGTACAGACCCGACACACATGAGGTGTGTGTCATGCAGAGGGCCCTCTTCAGTCAAAGATGCACGCTCGGATTTCGAGCACTGGTTGTGGGCCACCACATTTGTGCAAAGAATAAACACCCGCAAGGGGTTGTGGAAACCATGTGAAGGCTGACATCTTTAGTGGGCCAAACATGGAGAGCCCCTTAGATGTGACCCTTCGTTTCCCTTTAAGCCAAGGGTACGAGCCTCAAAAAAGGAGAGAGTTCTCCGGTCCGAAGCGCGGGCTTGCAGGATCAGGGCGAAGGTGGCTTGCACCAGTATGTTCGAGACCTTCACCGTTTCAGGCGCGCGTCACCGGCACCTCCGTTTCGCATGGCGAAACGCATCGGGCAAAGGCGCAATGAGCTCACGAGCCTTTTTGAGCCTTTTTGGTGGGCAAGACGGGCAAAACCCATGAAGGCATATATATATATATATACACTGCACTTGCGGATTCCTGATCTGGGGATTGCGGTAAGTTGCCTAGACGGCTGTGGCGCAAAATATGTACCAGAATGGCACCTTGATACATCGAACCCAAGACTAAATCCTGCTTAACCCTAGCTCTTTAATTGTGGGCCACACCCAGATGAACATGTTCTTGGACGCCTCCAGAAGTGTGTTCGCACATCGAGGTTTCTATGAAGTTAGGTCTGAAGATTCAACATTTGTGTTGCTGACGTGTGCAGACTCAGTCAGCTGTGGGGATTTTACAAGATCCGACGATTCAGTGTCACCGACCCCCAAACGCTTGACAAGTTTGCTAGGGTTCAAGCCCGATTAAAATGCCGGTTGACCCGATTGAGCAGATGCTTTCGTGCCATGTATTCGCTTCTCATTGCTTTTTAAGCGTCCTTTGCACCTCGCCTGTTTTTTGCAGCTAAAGCCTGTTTTTTGCGCCTGCAATGAGCCATGGCGTGGTATTTGGATTATTCATGCTGTTGCCACGTTTAGATTCTACAAAGCCATTTCCACCTCAACATGTCTTGACACGACAATTTTGGTGTGAACATAGCGGTCCGTGATCTTCGCGAAAGCAGCGTGAAATCACCGTGAAATTGGTGTGAAAGCCTGTTTTCTATCGTGAGAGCACGCTTTCTGCCGTGAATTTTGACACCGGTGAATCTATGTGTTTCAGCCTGTCCTTTGGTACTCCCTCCGCTTGTTTGTGGGAATGGAGGTCAAGTCTTTGTACACTTTGGTCCTGAGCACATGCGGCGCCTCAATTGTTCAACGATATCAGCTGAGCTTGGACAAAACTACTCCTGGGCAAAAACCCGCCTTTCGCAGAAAACACGCAGAATAAACCGCCTTTGGAACCCCAGGGATAGGGCATGGCTGCAATCGTTCAGGGAGGATACGCCCGACAAAGTCTGCACGATTTAGAAGATGATATTTCTCCAGAAAACCATGGTCGCTATACTAACCCCCATGATTTTTCCTGGTGTTTATACTAACCCCCACGGTTTTTCCCCGGTGAAAATACTAACCCCCATGTTTTTCCTGGTGGTTGCAGTTGCCACCACAATTTCCTGTTGGTTGGACTCCGGAAAAACTAAGTTAAGAAAATAGAAATAAGCAAACACACAATAACAATGATGATTATACAAATAAACATACAAAAAAAAACACACCCATGCGGTCCGCATGCGCCGAGTCGCCAGGCCCCACGGCGCGGTGTCCCGCGGGTTCGCAGCTCCAGCGCTGCTTCTGCCAGGCCGGGGCCCGGCGGGCCGGAGTCGCCGGAGCCTGCGGGCCCCTGGTTGGGCGTTCGCTGCCAAGTGGCCCACCAGATGGAGCCGCCAGAGGTTTTTTTTTGAAGCGTCAGGGTTTCCGAGCCATGGCCCTTGATGTTACAGTAGCCGCCAAAAGTGGGGGGTCGTCTTTTTTTGCAAGGCACCAGTAAATGCTAGGTCCCGGAGCCAGGTGCCATTTTTACCGCTTCTTTTTTGGGGAAGGGTTTGGGACCCTACTAAAATAGACTACACCAAAAAGTTGGTAGCCTGATTCTAACCTCTCTACTGGAGGACCTAGGTTTTTACTGTGGATAGACAAAACAATGGTGGTACTACTGTGGATGCCCAGACTTTTTGGGGCTTGCAATGGAAGACCCAGATCCTCCGTTGCACTATTCAGAGGGGTTTTGGGCCCAAAATCAATCTGGAGCGTCTGGGTGGACAAAATCCGTTAGCATCACGACATGAAGCCATGGCTGAAGCCACTATTTGTTGGTATGTTGCAGGGGAATGCTGACCTCAGATGAATCAACCAACCAGTTTATGAATTGGAGGGTTCTTGGCCCCTCCAAAAGTGACCTGATTCCAACCACACCCAGGTTGACACCAGCCTATTGAGAAACTGCGGGTTGGGGTCAACATTACCTAGATGCTCGTTGCACGGGCCAAGTCAGCGTGATTGGGAACCTAGGTTTCCAGCCCCCGGGAATGTGGGGTTGTCGGGGGGTTGCAAACCCCAAGGCAGATTAGAGGTGACAGCGCAGGGGTTCTTACTTGGGTGAGACCTAGACGATAGCCCACATATAAAAGGTACCCCCATGTGACATGTGGGGTTAACCTTGTCAGGGAAGGGTATACCCAAATGGCTAACCGAACATGCAAGTAGAGGGTGGACAAAAGAGATATTGCTAGCCAGCATAGGTGAAGCATAGGTGACCTTGGGTCGGTCTGGTTGAAAATCGATGGCACTGGTTGCAGGTTCTTTCCAATCCTTTACCAGTGCCATCTGTTTTACCAAAAGGACACGCTAGCATAGGCGGTTCGAAGTAGTTTTGCCTTTGGGGGAGCGAAGGAGCCATCAAGAGTTCCGCTAGGACATGGTGATTTTTGTGGATCAACATTGTGTAAATTTGTGGGTGGTTCTGCCAAAATCCCCATGTGTCCTTCCTGGTGGTGAAGTACATCGCGCAACCCTACGTGGCGATATACGGGGCAGTTTTGTCTGCTCGGAATTACATCCGTCCGTTTTCGTGAAAACCATGCCGTTTTGCCAACTTTTGCCAACTTTTGTGGGGAAGATCAACAATGGAACTCGGGGCTTGGTTAAGCACGTCCAGCAGAGACCTTTGGTCGGCCGATCGATTTGGCTTCGAGGGGATCAAGCCTTTGCTTGTTTCTATTCTTTATCTCACTTCCTGAGTTCATGATCTTTAAACTTTTTGGGAAGACCATTTTAGTGGTAAATATAAAGTTTGAACTTTTTGTTGGGCCATCCACTCAGCAAGTGAGCTATTGTTGAGGCTTTCGAGACTCCAGGCGTTTGCGCCTTCGCACCTGTGATGCGCCTTCGCATCTTTTCGCTGGCTTGGGGGTTCACCTTTCTCAAGCGCATCATCACCCGAGTGCCTGAAGATTCAGTGCATCAAAGAGGACACCGCATGTGAGGGAAAATTCAATGATAGAAGGAAAACCTTTGATGCAAAAGCACTCCCCTTTCAATGTTTGGAAAGACCGGTTTCAGAGCCGTGGAACCGCTTGAACTCAACGCCTTCCATGCCTTCAGGTTTTCTCAAAGTAGTCGCTATGGCATTTTGGTTTTCCCTTTAAATACCAACCAACACGGGGGGGCTTTTCCAAAACTGGGATTGTTCCTAGCGGCCACCCGCATCAGCGCGTACCCTCAGTGAACATCCCAATCCCCACTAAAACAGGTTCTAAAATGGATTGTGCACCTACCCCAACATGGTACCAAAACGGTTTTGACCCGCAGCCAAATCCAGCGGCGCATCTCCTTCGGGCCGTCAGGATCGCGCGCTGGCCCTCCTCGAAGGCCTGCCTGGGCGCTGCGCAGCCGCTGCAAGAGGGTCCCGCCTGCAGCGTGCGCGCCGCGCCCCAGGCGGAGGCAGTCCGCGCTGGCCGGTACTTCCAGTTGGTGAAATGAAGATCTGGTATTTCCCCCTGTTGATTTTAAAGGGAATCGATTTCACTACGGGAAGTATGTTTTTTTTGCCCAGGGGACTTAAGCAAATGGAGGGGTATCGTTGGAATTTGGTCGGCGGGGGGAAGTTTTGGGCGGCAACAAAAGACATGCGGTGGGGGGGGGACCGCTTGAAGATAAGACAAAACAGGTCCTTAGTTGCAACCACAGCCATTCGACCGGATCTGACCTTGTGAAGTTTTCCCACATTTGGGTGTCCCATTTTTAGTAGGGGTGCTAAAAGTTTATCACCTTTATTTTCCAGTTCCTTTGGGCAAGTGAGTGTCTGAAGTGCATGCCCATCCTTGAGTTGCACATTATTGTACCCAAAACGAGCAAAGTGGAATGTACAGAGGGAACCCTTGGTGGATTGCAGCTTTAGATCGGAAACCACAGTGGGCTAAGATCACTCAAGTAAAATTTGGGGGGTGCCCCCGAGCACTAACAGTTAAATAAAGCCATGTATACATAATACCTCAGCAAAAATGACCACCAGCAAGCCCAAATTGGTTTTGGGTAAGCACGCCCCGCCAATTTTAGGTTGCGTATTTGTTTGGTCTATATGATGATGCAGTGGAGAGTAGAGCGGTGTTTTTTCATGCCCAGGCCCAAATACGGTTCTATCCCTACTGGTTTCTAGTGCTGCGATTTTGGGGTTGTCACTGGACTGTAGGTGCATTCGGATTTAGGAGACCTAGGAAAAGTTTAAAGCTGGTTCAGGAGTCGTAAACATAGACAGAGACATAGACATAGCATAAACATATATCGCAAATAAACATTGGCCTAGACAGCAACTATCACTACCACTTTTCCGCCGTCGCTGCAAGTTGAATGCAAGTCGCTAACGCTAACACCAAGTTCTGACATCTTGATCTGACAAAGAGCGAAATCCAAAGCAGGCAGGAAGCGCAGTCAGCGCGGAGCTGGCCGCTTCGCCCAGAAACACGTTGGAGCGTCTTGTCTTTCAGCTTCTTCCGTTTGTGGGCCTGGTGGAGGAGCCCAAGGTCCTGAAAGACAGGTTCAGGGCCAGGGGAGCCACTGCCACGTTTGGTTTTGCGGCGTAGACAGCTGTTTGCAGGCCAGTCTGCTGGCTGGCAGCCCCACCCTGCCCGGCCAGGCCAGCTGGCCCCTGGCTCAGCTGGCGCCAGCACCGAGCTGGCCGAGCTGGCGCTGACTCCGGCCGGCTCCCGCGCTTCTGGCCAATTTCGGCAAATTTTCGGACGGATTTTCCAGAGGAAAGCGTAAAACTAGCACAAGAAAAAGCACAAGAAAAAGCACAAAAAAAGCACCAAAAAAAGCACCAAAAAAAGCACCGCAAAACCCCAATTACCCTCCGGAGGGACCCCGCTACTACTTTTCATCACGGGAAACCACCAGCGGGAGCACAAAAAAAAGCACCGCGAAACCCACAAGAAAAAGCACAAAAAAAAGCAAAATCGGGAGCACAAAAAAAAGCACCACAAAACCCCAATTACCACCCGCCCGGACTCCGCTACTACTTTTCATCACGGGAAACCACCAGCGGGAGCACAAAAAAAAGCACCACGGAACCCACAAGAAAAAGCACAAGGGACCACCACAAAACCCCAATTACCACCCGCCCAGACTCCGCTACTACTTTTCATCACGGGAAACCACCAGCGGGAGCACAAAAAAAAGCACCACGGAACCCACAAGAAAAAGCACAAAGGACCACCGCAAAACTCCAATTGGAGCACAAAAAAAAGCACCGCAAAACTTGGCCGGCGGGCCGGTTTTTCAAAATTACTTTCCCTTCAGACCGCGAAATTCAAATTACTTGCCCCAGGACCCTCCCCAGGCCTCCCCGGGACACCTTAAAAATTAAAAAACGCGTTAGTGCGTTAGTGCTCCCCCTCAAAAAAAACCGTTAGTGCTCCCCGCGACACTCTTGGAACGAAACAAGGAAGGAAGAAAGCACAGACAGAAGGTTGGTGAGAAGGGCAGACGGAGGGGAGGGGGTTGCTGTGGGCTGGATGTTTGCGTGAGAGGTGGGGGGGTTTGGGTGAGGGCCGCAGGTAAGAAGGAGGTTTGGGGCTGGATGGGTGAGGGCAGCTTGGTTGGCAGGGAGGAGGTTGGGAGCGGAGGCTGAGAGAAGGCCGGGAGGGGCTGTGAATCGGAAGGCTCTGGCTTACGCTGGGGGGAGGTTGACTGGGAGGGGGTGTTGTGGGAAGCAGCAGCGACCAAGCCAAACAGAAAGGAAGGACGGAAAGGTAATGTTGCAACAGCCACGCTAGCCGTCGTGTTGCGTGTGCCAATTTAACTTTCCCATTGTATCTGGACTAATAAGTCATAGTGCAAACAGTCTTTGAGACACTTTATTTCAAGGTCCCCGGAGCTATCCCCCAAGATGCAGAACGAGTAGTTTAGGTTTCAGACCTGCACGGGTACCAAATTTTAAAAAAGAGCAAAGTTGCTTGTTTTTTGTGGTGCTTTTTTTTGTGCTCCTATTTGTGCTCACTGCTAGTGGTCCGGGGCCACCCCCAAAGTAAAATCGTGTTTCTTTCCTGGCAAACCACACAGACAACGACTAAGTTTCCGGTTTGTGCTTTGGGGGACGCTAAATGCAACACGGACGAGGCTTCATCGTATGGAACATGGCCCCTCTTGGACCCGTAAGACTGACGCCGTGTTTCTGGTTCAGTGAAGCGACGAAGCCAAAAGCGGTTCGGACCTTGAGGGAGCGAAGCAGCGTGGCAGTTTCTTCACGACTTGAGATTTGTGTAGGGCTTCTGTCCATGGTACCTGCATCGCTGTGTAGCTGCAGAGGCGTTCCTCAGACGTTCTTGAACTCAATGGCAGTCCTCACATTTTCCAAAGCCAACAGGGACCCCAGGCAACCTCAAACTACGCTGGCAAAACCTAGGAACCGCTTTTCAGGCAAGGGGTGACCAGATCACGGCTGCACCACGCTGGAAGGAAGATCCTGCACGACTCGCCCAAGCTTTGTGCCTGAGGGGCGATAGCCATTGGCTTCTGCAGAGCTTTGGAGAAGATTGGGACCTTTGCAAAGCGGAAGCCAGTTTTTTTTGTTTTTTCGCCAAGGGCAATTTTGGACATTTGTTTGTCGTACATTACGACTCGCATTTGTTGTCCCAAAAATTGTCCAAATACGAGAAAAAGGACTTTTGTCCCAAGTGTTCAAGCCGTCTTCTTTCTCCCCTGCTTGTTTGGTTTGGGTTCCCCACAGCTTTGTTTGTTTGGTTTCCCACGCAAATTGTTGTTTTGTTTGGTTCCCCACAACAACCTTTCCTAATTCCACCTTTCGGGTCACAGTCAGAGTTGACCAAAGCCATTTGCTCGATGTGCGATCCCAGCGGGATAAGATATAAACGTCAAATTGGACATGCCATACAAGGCGGCGGCAAAGGCGCATGACTTAGGTCCGCCCGGGCGTGGTCCGCATGGACGTTTGCAGTTTGCAGCATAGAGCGCAAGCCTGATGATGAGTCTTAGAGCGTCAAAAGAGTTGACAAAAGCCATCAATCGCCATGAACAGCAGCCAGCCTTTTGGGGGCAGTTCTTCAAGGGGTATGCGTAGGAGCTTATCTGGGGGAGGCTGTAAAAGGAGTCGGGTATGTACAGATATGGGTGTGTTATTTTTTTTGCGGGACCCACATAGTGATATTCCTTTTGGTTTCCCATTCAAACCGCACAAAACAAGGGTACCAGCTCCAAAAAAAGACGCCACCCCTAAAAGGGTGTTTCTCGAAATTGGGGTCCTCTAGAGATGGTTTCCTTTTTGATTTCCCCGTAAAGGTCCTGGAAAGCGGGTGGGGTCAGGCTCCTCTAATTTGAGAAAGCGCCACTCGCACGCCTTCCGTGGCCTTGTCGTGGCTTGGCCGCGGGGCTCAGGAATTCCAAGAGCCTGGGCTTTGTGAAGTACTGCGGCTGGGTGCCATACCTTCGGCCCATGAACACGCCGGAGCTCGACTACAGGCGGAGCTCCGCTGCCGGGGGGAAGTGTTCTCAAAGCCGGTGGAGCTCGTGGACTTGAGCGTCCACTTTGTGGGGGTTGGACCATAGCGGCAACCAACAAAGTTGTAATTTGTTAAAACCCTCTAGGCCCCGTGCCGAAATTGGGTAGCTGTTCTGAGGTCCTTGTTGGTGTTGCTTCCCAAAGTTCCATTGATCGCCATTTGGCTCAAGGCTCAAGACACAATTGAGGTTCAAGATCTGATGTGTGACTGCATACATACGTGATCGGCATTGAGAGCGAAAACACTTTGCTTGCGCTGCATTTGTCAGGACCACTGTTGTAACTATCATTCCTTCTCCCTTACAACGTTTACACGGGTTCGGCTATAACGGCATCGTCCGTATACACCTTTCTACGTGGTTGGTATTACAGCTTGAGGGTTCGGTGCATAGCGTCCCACGGGACGTCACCTTGCCGTCTCTTGACAGGTTATCAGCCGTAACTACAAGCTCTACACTGGACTGGGAGACAGCTGGTTTATTGCGGGTACAGGGACAATAAAGGAACGATAACCTACACAGTACAATGGCGTCTTCGGCGAGCCCAAGTACTGCAACTTTTGGGAACAGCAGCTCAGAGGGATCCAATGGATTGATGGCTCTTCCTGCGGTGATGGATATGGTTGCAGATTCACAGGATGAACCTGGGAGCGGAGGTTCCGCGCTATTCAGCGACATATCTACTCCCACAAGATCATGGAAGCAGATCGATGTTCATCAGGAGTCGAAGAAAAGAGAATCCCCACCGAGAAGATCATCATCTTCGCCTGCGACACCACGGACGTCGCAGAAGGGCGTGAGATCGACGTCGAAGGGTGGGAGGTCAAAATCACCCACCAGTGCAGATTTTCGCGCCGTGATCAAAGAGAAGAATAAGATGGAGGTGGAGATCGGGGAATATCAAAAGACACTTGATGAAATGTCGGCAGCAATGGCGAATCTTAACCAAGAGGATTATGGAAGCACCATCCGGATCCAGGAGCTGGAAAGACGATGCGAGATTGCCAGCAAGCAGTCGGGACATCTAGTGAGTCACCACCAACACCACATGGCTGAGGCATGGCGCAAGTTTGAGGAAGAAGCCCAACAGATGCGCAAGGTGGAAATGAACGCATTTCAGTACGGGGAGAAGAAAGACATGGAGTCGAATATTATAATGCAACAGATGAGACAAGCTGAAGGAACTATCATGGAGCAGAAGCGGGAAATTGCATTGATGAAATCCTACATGGCAAGCGAGAAGTCGGCCGCGCAGGAATCAGCTATACGTGCAAATCAGATACACCGTGAGGCTTCACAACAGATATCAGTTTATCAGCAACAGATCAGAGGCATAGAATCTTCTACATCTATCGAGAAGTTCAACGAGGAGGAGATGGTCCAAAGTCTGAAATCACAGTTGGAGCATGCACTCGTCAAGCGCCCCGAGACGTACTCTTTGGAGGACTCCAGGGAACAGCTGATGGCGAGGCTGAATGACGTTACAGTATTTGCGGAACAGGAATCGAAGAGAGCAGATTGCTTGCTTCGCGAAAAGGAAGAGATCGTCAAACAGTATGAGTCCGACGTGTCGATGAAGGACCAGATGATTGCTGTCGAAGGTGGTCATCGTCAGGATGCGATCTTGGAGTTAGCCCAGGTCAAAGAAGAGAAACAAGAGGAACGGTGCACGATGGACGAGAAGTCGAAGGAGGCTGAGTACTGGAGATTGACAGCTAAGGGAATGTACGATGAGTACCTCGAGGAGATGCATGAGCTTCAGAGACAACTGAAGGAAAGAGAGGCGACGCTCAAGCAAGAAGAGAGTTTTGTACGCCAACTCGATGCTGACAACGAGGAACTACGTGCACACAAGAAGCTGGAGACACAGGAAGCCTCCAGCAGCAAAGATGGACATCGTGAACGAGCAGTAGTGAAACGCGCTGAGGGAGGAACCCAGGCTAATTCAAATAGGATAGACAAGAAGGTGGCTGGGTCAGTCCCGTCATCGTCTTCAAATCAAATCCCTAATTCGTCGCTGATGCCAGGTTCGATCCTCTTTCCGTCTTTCGGTGATCCAATGATCGATGTACACCTATCCCAGATGCAAGGGGTTGTTGGGCATGTTCCACAATCCACTACTACGACTGGTGGTGGTGATGGAGGGGGAAACAACGGTACTACGCCCCCATTGGATTACGGTGGATTCCCGCCCAATGGGAATGGGCAGGGAGCGGGTCGACGTCAGTTGAGCCTCGCTGGTGGCGGAGGAGGACCTCCGGATGATCCACACGATGATGAGGATGAGGATGACGACGACGAAGGAGATGAAGAAGACGAGGAAGAAGAAGAGGAAGAAGACGATCGGACACGGAGGAGACGAAGGAGATCGAGAGATAACCGAGAGATCAAGAATGATCGACCGAGAATCTCGAGGAAAGAGGCCGAGAGAGTATCTATTCCGGCCTGGCCAAAGATCCATCAACTTGATACCTGGAAGATGCAACTGCTGATGAATGTTCTGAGCGCATGTGCAGATCCAGATACCGACGCATGGACGAAATGGCTGGAGCAGGCTCTTGGGTTGAACCCAGACCTGGATTTGCTTAGCGATTCAGGTGGCGACAGATTTGCTACGATAGATATTAAGATGGCCATGGGCATGCAGAACATGCTGAAACAAGCACCTGACGAAGCCAAGGACGTATACCTCGATGCTACACGACACTCTGAACTACGACATCAACAAGGGGTGATCGTGAAGGGACGAGAGTTGGTGGCATTAGTTATGCAATCATTCAGAACTTCCGATAGAACGGATCTTGTCTACCACATCGAGCATCTATTCAACCTTGACTTTCCTGGCGACAAGAACTTGGTCATGTTCAGGAACAAATGGTATGATTTGCTGCTGAAGATGAGGAGCGAGGACAGACCCAGTAAGCTGGCTCTCAGAGACATCCTTTACAGGAAGATCAAAGGGAGCAAGAAGATGGAGTTCGGCCTCAATGCCTACCATAGACTACCGGACAAGCATCCTCAGAAGACGTATGAATTCTTATTGGCGTTGATCGACTATCAGATCAAGGCAGATCGGGAAGACCTGATGCTCGACATGAAGGAGAAATCGGTCAAGTCGATGATGAAGTCAGGCGGGAAGGATGCGGCTCCAGCAACTGGCAAACAGGAGAACCAGGGTGGCAAGGGCAGAAAGGGGAAACCCGGTGGACCTGATGCCGCTCCTGTGCTCCCAAAAGCCAAGGCAAAGGGCCACGCTGGCAAGAACGGCAAGTCCGACGGTGCCAGCGACAGAGGCAAGAGTCCGGGCGGAAGCAAGGATAATCCCTGCTGGTACCACTTCAAATCGGCGAAGGGGTGCGTGAAAGGAAATGAATGCACTTTTTCCCACAGCAAGAAGACGGAGCATAAGTTGGAGAGCATGTCCAAGGGGAAAGGAAAGGGCAAATCCAAGTCCAGATCATCGTCACCAAAGAGAGATGATGGAGCATGCTTCGCGTTTCAGAAGGGGAAGTGCGATAAGGGAAGCGCTTGCAAGTATAGGCATGAGCTCATCAAGAACAATTCAGCTCCAGCAACGTCAAATGACAAGGCGCAAGCCAAGTCGAAGGCTGCCGCCAAAGCCGCAGCGCCAGCCATTGCGAGGAGGGCCATCGCAATGCCCGCGATAGTCCTGAAGCAATCGGCTCCTGCAGGGAAGGTAAGCTTCAAGAAGGACGTTGATCAGGTCGAACCGGACGAAGCCGAGACTGTCTACCACGAGCACGATGACGACGCGATGAGCGAATCATCGAGATGGTCTGGCGAGTCCGAGATCCCCGAGAAAATGGTGTGGTTCAAGGAAGTGCTCGACGTCGACGAGAATGGGGAAATCACCTACCTCGAAGACGAGAGAAGGCAATGGGAACGGAAAGGAGAATGGTACGGTTATGAGGACAATGAGAATGAGCCTTATCAGTACGTGTACGTCGATGAGAAGAAGTTCAAGAGCAGTGATCATCGTGAATTATCAGCCTATCAAGTCCAACGATCATTGATACGTGCGAAGATACTGAGAGAAGTGGTGGATGATATATATAAGAAGCACTACTTCCCGGTGACCAAGGAGAGCAGCATAATGTTCGAGTATGATCGGAACAAGGACGAGATCAAGGAATCGGCTGTCGACTGGAAGAAACAGCATGGTATGCCGAAGAACGTTTTCGCCATGTCAACGTGCATCAGCAAACGGGTGAAATGGTTGATGGACACCGGATGTGGTCATGATCTCATCGGAAGAGCCAAGGCAAAGAGCCTGGGCGTTGAAATCGAGAAAGATGACGACGAGATTGTGTTCCAGACCGCGAATGGTTCCACTTCCACATCTGATGTGGCCAAGATAGTCGTGGACGAGTTGGACGAGACTGTCGAGCCGCATGTATTGGATGAGACACCCACGGTATTGTCAGTGGGGAGGAGATGCATGAAGATGGGTTATGCATTTCACTGGATGCCTGGTAAACTACCTTTCATGGTTACGCCAAAGCAGGGATTCGTGCACTTGCAGGTCAAGGACGACATCCCGTACCTAGTGAGTGATGGTAAACTTCGGAGTAACAGGCATCGCCCTACGATAGACGACCTCAAGGAGCACTTTTCGGAAGTATTGGCGATGGTAACGAACGACGAGGCAGATCAGGGAGGTGACGATGAGAACGACGTCACACCCGCCGCTGTCGGTGAGTCCGCAGAGGCCGAGGGCGAACACCACGACGGGGCATTCGACTTCGGGCCACCCGGAGGAGCCGGTCCGGTACGTCCGCCTCCCGTGGCTGAGGAAATACCTGTAGATGTTGGGTCAGTCCCGCATCGACATGGTGATGCCGAAGCTCACGAGGAAGAGGTTGATGAAGATGATCCAGATGCCGGAATCGAAGTAGACGTGTACGAAGGATCATCAATAAAGAGGAAAGTGGGAGTCCTCA